TGTCACGGTCGCACGTCGGCCGAAGGCATCTTTCTTTCCGCTGCCGCTTTCTGTACGCTGATTTGTTGAGACAAAATAATTAATTTCTCAAAAACTATTGCGAATATCGCAAAACGGCACAGGACTTTCTTGCTCACCTCAATCCGTTCTACGTTCTCACCAAGGGTCATCATGGGACTTCGGGACACCCTGTATATATATATATATATACAGGGTGTACTGTATGTATATACACTGTATGTATATATATATTCGCACACACTGTTGTGCAATTGTTGAGAAGAATATCACTCGTGGGAAAGCATATCACGGCGAAACGAACGTTTAAGGGTTAACAGACAGACTTGTAGATCTCTCATGTGTACGGGGTAAACAGTTCTTACGAAGGAGTCCCAAAGCTCCAGATGCTGCGTAATTTTTTGTGCTGAGACAAGTGTGCTTCGTCTCAGGCGCGCGTTGCGCCACACATTCATACAGCTTCTCGTTCCATCGCCTTCGCTCACTTTCTCGGTAGACCAGCTCGTCTGTTGCATTTTTTGGGGAGACGCGACTTCTCCAACCACAAGAAGGAAACAGTAACGACGCGTGTGAGAGAAACTGAGAGATTGGACGAACTGGACAAATTAAATTTCTATCGCTCTTTTTGAATCGCGCCCATGTGTTTGAATTTGTAATACAAAGGAGGTATGACTTTTAGACGATTTGGGGACCGCCAGGTAAACGAAAATTTCCTATTTTTTCCTTCGTATTTTTTTCCGTAGAATTAAAAAATCGGCCTTAAAATTACGCCAAGTAAAGGGAAAAATAGATATAGACATTTAAACGTTGATTTTCCCTGAAAATCATGCATTTTCCAACATCTTAAATACCTTTGACTTTTTTTAGAGGTGTTAAAATAAAATAAAAAAAGGTAGAAAAAATTAAAAAAAAAAGAAAAAAGAAAAAGTACAAAAAAATAAATAAAAAGAAAAAATGATAGGACCGACTCTCCCTCACGTCTATGTTCGTGGTCCTGCTTCCGATAGAGAAAGGAGATATTCTATTTGTGTGTAATACTGCTAATTGAATATAAATGATATCGGTGCATATAAATAAAAGTTGATAAAAGCAAATCAGGTGCTCAAGACTCGTTAGAATTCACTTGGTTTACAATCATCAGTGGGCTGCCGATGTTTTTGTAATATAATTTTATGATGACATTGAATTTCAAAAAGTAAAAGAATAAATAAAACATCAGAATTTTTCATTTACTAATGCCTTTATAATCCTGAAAACGCTGGATTACAAAATCACGTATTTTGAATATTAATATTTTTTTAATTGACTGCTGCTTTTTCTCTGCTGCTTAGAGTATATTCTCATATTATTATCAAGTTTTGAGAAAATAAGACTGATACTGAGAATTTAGGAAAATGTTACAACACGTTGCTTGGTTTGACTTGTCTTTCGTTTGCAATTCGTACTAAGTAAATATATACACATAATTCTGTATTGTTTGCGGCATTCGGAGGTACGCGTTCATTGGCGTAACATCTCACTGGAACTCTACTGGCTTTTATTGAAGTATATATCATTATTTTTCCTCATATTTGGGTTGGTTACTCTATCTGAATACGTTTTTTTAGATGATTACACCACAGCACCTTAGTACGTGCGATGGAGTGACCAGTCTCAGAATAAATTGCTAGTATCTTCCGGAAAAAAATTTTTTTGTATAAATGATAATTAACATTGATGCTTCCGGATCCCGTAGGCAAAAAACTTGTAGCGACAGTTTTTTGTAATGACCATTGTAACACCGACTATTGCGACTTTTTTTATTTTTGCGACACTTAAATATTATTTGTAATCACTGAGGAGGGTCTGTGAAATTAGACCGAAACGCGTTTGATAAGTAATAAATTTCATCTCTTTGTGAGATTGGATCACTATTTTTTAATAGTTTTAATAGCACTAATCAACCTGTGCTTGAACTCTAATTGTCCTTTATGTTAAATGATACACTCAGGAAGAGTTTTTAGTTTTATTAGTTAAAATAAGTTTCCTATGTAACGTGAGATTTAACACCTCTAAAAAAGTCAAAGGTATTTAAGATGGCAGTGTTAGAAAATGCATGATTTTCAGGGAAAATCAACGTTTAAATATCTATAACTATTTTTCCCTTTACTTGGCGTAATTTTAAGGTCGATTTTTTAATTCTACGGGAAAAAATAGGAAATTTTCGTTCACCTAGCGGTTCCTAAATCGTCTAAAAGTCATAGTTATTCTCCTTTCGAATTCCAGAGGCTGAATAGGGCCCATCGCTTCGTATTTCCTTGTGTGAAGTATATTGCGGGCAGTATACCTCATGACCCATGAGTCATCATGCTAACCAAGAGCGATGTTTTGGGTACAGCGCGTTCGACACGTGTTGCGCGTACCTGAGAAACTCGTGAAAGGACCCGCTGTGAGGACTCCTGTGTAAATGCGCACGGTTAACAGTCCCGTCGACGAACAGCTGTTCCTATAAATATCCCAGCATCCCTTCTTCCCACCAGCCCGCCGCCGTCCCTTTCGCTATTCTTATTTCTCTTCACCCCGGAGACTCAGCCCGGAGACTCAGCCACCCTTCGTCAGAGAGAAATGAAAGAATTTATAGGAAATTTACAGCGTGATATTCGGTGATTCATATTCAGCGAAGAATGTGTCTGACTTTTCGTTCAGATTCTTGCGAGTGGAAAATCACCTTCGTTAAAATTCACAGAGGATTATTTAAGGATTCCTGAATTTACATGACTTCGGCGAATTGAATTTTAGATGCTATCGGATATGCAAAATAGGACTGATCGTCGCGCTTCAACTGTTATAAATAAATATATTCTCGCGCGTCTGTACGTCAATCAGAATTTATTGTTTAAGAAACTCTATTTTAAACAATGAGATGGATCCACGCAAGAGACACTTCAAAGCTTCGATTTTAATAGTCGCGGGGGCCTAATTCGAAAACATGCACGACAGGCACGATCTGATCTTTGCCTGTAATTGTCCATCGTGGACAGGACAGGAAATGCAAATTCCATCGTCCCCAATGTCCCCTCACCGCAGGACAGTGCTCTTTGACCCTTTCTTGATCTTCTCTCTACATCTAAATGCTTTTTATAAACGAGAGTTTATTCCCATCTCTACGAAAATTTTGTCTCTGAGTTTTTCTTATCTCAAATAATACGCTTGCGTAAAACTAACACAAATAATGCATGTAATAATTACAGTAGTATTAGTATATTATGAGTACATGCGTGAAATATAAGGACTCACCAAGCTGTATAAAACGCGAAAACAATTATATTTACATATATATTTTTTTTAATTTCTGTGCAAAAAGAATATCATTTTGTGGAACTAAATAACACTGTGTTGGGCACTAATCGATTAAAATTTCAGTTGACTAAAATAATTAGTCAGTAAATAAATCAGCAAATCGGTAATAAAAATTAATCAATTGTCATATACATTAAGAGAAAAAATATTTAAAAAATAAAAAATGTTTATTCCATGGATACTAATGACATATATATTTACTTGTAGTAATATACATATTTTTATATTAAAAAAAGATTTCTTTGAAATGAGAAAATATATATTTCTCTCTTAAAAAAGAACACTGTTACTTTTTATAAAAACAATTGTTTATTCTATTTAAATAAAATATTTAGATTTATATTATTAGTACTTACCGAATAAATATTTTTTTATTTAAAATATTTTTCCCTTAGTGTGTGTAATCCCGACTAATTTAATCAATTAATAAAATTATATATATAATTATTAGTACATAATCAATCAAGTAAAAGTTTATTTAATTAATTTATTTAATTAATTTCTGAAGCAATTAAATTATATTTGTGATTACATACGTAACGATAAATTAATATTGCTTATTAATTTGTTGATTATTCCAATTGACTAAAATTTCAATTAATCAATTAATGCCCAGTATTGCTGAATAGAGATTAAACAAAAATTCAGTGATAAGAAATAATATTTTCGTTACTACGATCAAAAACGATATGCGTGTTATTCAGCTGCTTTAAGAGAGTAATATGAAAACTTTACTGATAAAATTAACTTTTTCTGCAAAGTTTACGTGCCGCATTGATTGAATAGAATTACAAGCCTTTTATACAAATAAAAATACGTACAAAAATAAATAAAAATACTGCTCAATATGTGGCAAAAATGACAAAAAAATTTCGATATTGATATCGGAGCGGTCAATTTTCGTAAATATTTATCCAATAAAAGTTCTACAGCTTGTACCGTACCGTACATGCGCTTGATACTAAGAAAATTTCGAAGAATTGCTATATATTTATAACTAAATTTCGAAGTAAAAAATATATGAAAAGTTTGTAAAAAAAAGTCTATATGCGCGCGCGCGTTGTTAAATTTCCCGTTAAACATCATAAAACAAAGCAACACATATTTACATAAGATCCGTTACATTTCTTGGACATTCGGTTATTTAATGATGGCTATAATTATGACAAGAGTTAAACTGACAGTGTAGGGTATGAAAATAAATCTTATAAATATAACATTCGAATATTGTTATCTTCCCGTAGTTTAAATTATGAACTTGTGGACTTTAAAAGTTTAAATACATCCCTTTATTAACTAATTACAACACGAACGCGTCAGCAGTGTCTCTGAATTTGTGATAACCAGAAACGTTGCAATTTCATTGGGAAAAATGTGTGGCCATCGTTTAGTAACCGCGTGTACACACATATATATACAAGAAAAACGAGAAGCTTAGCGTGACTTTGTCAGTGCTTATCTGACATGATATATTGACAACCGCTGCTACGTTATCGGTATTTCTAGTTCATTATCCTCTTTGATATCCTTTTAAAGCTCTGTTGAGATAATTGAGAACAACTGATCGAAAGGAAACTATCTGCAGGAAGTGGTCTTTCTATTTCTAACAGAGTTTCTTATATGACTTTTTTTCTTCTTAGAAAATTCAGTTACACTAGCGTTGCTATAGCATAATAACCCAGTAAATATAGAATATATTATATAACGCAGAAATAACACAAGTAATATAACTACTGTTACATGTTATTAATATTAAAGTTATTTAATCTCTTTTATAACATAACTATGTTCTATAATCGATATATTGCTTTGTTATGTACTAATTATAACAGTATTGTTATGTACTAATTATAACAGTAGTAATATATTTTAAATATAATACGTTATACAACGTTAACAAATGTAGCGTTTACGTTGCGTTTATGTTATATAACATTTTTATGTACAGATGTCGATTCACCCTTTAAATAACGTCTGTTTCTCGTATGTAAAATATGATACGTTAACACATATAAGAAGAATGATGATCACGGTACGGTAAAACTTGTACCGTGGTGCTTTTATAATAAAGTACACTTTTTGATTAATTATTATTACCTTTGCCAGTAATAATCGTTCGAAATATCATTTATAATGATGAGAATGAATAAACTTTAATAGCTGATCAAGTATGTGTGGGAATATACTTTTATATTATTATGCATATTAGAGACAACTATAGTAGCTCCTTCGCATACAATTATATATCTACGATTCTTCAGAAGTGGATAAGAAGTGAAATATCATCTATAATGATGAGAATGAATAAACTTTAATAGCTGATCAAGTATGTGTGAAAATATATTTTTATATTATTATGCATATTAGAGACAACTATAGTAGCTCCTTCGCATACAATTATATATCTACGATTCTTCAGAAGTGGATGAGTAATATTCCAATTCTATAACATTTCAGTTATCGAAATATATATATATATATATATATATATATATATATATATATATAAAACTGTCTTATAATCTTCTGGTAACATATTATTTATACGTTTATAATTACGTTATATAATTACAATTTAATTGCAATCAGTAAAAAATTACTATTAACGTGTATACAACCTGATACATTCGTATATTATATTGCGTGTTACATTTTATTACATTATGACTAAAAATGAAAATGGCCCAGTTTGACAGTAACTTATTCGATAAATTATGGTAAATTGTTCAGTAATTTTGGAAAGCTGGTAAAATGGTAATTTAGAAAAAAATTACAAAAATAAAAAATTTTAATATAAAGTTTAAAAGGAGCATTAAACCTTTAAAATAAATAAGATACTTTATTTAATTTATATTTTTTTATATTTATAAATATTTTGATTTATATATATATATATATATATATATATATATATATATATATATATATTGCTGTGCTATATATGTGGCATATAGTAATTAGGAAAACTAGATACACAGTAACTAGAAAAATTTTTAAAAATTTTAAAGTTTCAATCTATATTTTTTCTACCATCTTACAGGTTCACAGCATTTTCACTTATTATCTTGCTGTTTCAGCGACTAGACTAGTATATAATTAAAAATTTTTAGTATTCTTTTGAAAAATGAAAACTTTAATATTCTCGAAGGATTGTACATAGTTCCCTTTCTTTCATCTGAGAGACATTTCAGAGATTGTCAGATATATATTTGATGAGAATATAAGAAGAATGTTGGTGTATCTTACATATTAATGAGGAAAACATAAATATTATATTTGTGCATAAAACTAATTTTACTGTAAGTAATCATTTTGAATCTGACGATAATTTTACATCTCTAATTATGATAATATATAACAGTTATATCAGCAGTCGTGTCTGCTGGACTAATAGCAATGTAGCTATTTTTTTTCGCGCATAACACTTCTAATTATATACTCCGCGTAAGATGTCGCACTATAATTTTTACGCTGGCAATATTGAGAGCAAAATCCACGGTACCTACGGGGCACCACATGTGCGCCCGCTCTCTTCATCCGTCGATCTCTTCCCGCTCCCTCTCCGCTCGCACGCTCCGTAAAATCCCTCACCAGTCGCCCTCGGGATCCCGCGTGTATTGCATGTCGGTTGCCGACGCTTCGTGCCGGAAAATTTAACCGTCACCGTTACTGTCGCACACACCGCGATATCCCGGCACTTATTATCAAATAGAAGTCTTGCGGCGGGATTTACCGCGAGTATCCGTTAGTATCACGCCAAGCGGAAACAAATACAACATATCTTCCTTCTCGTGGGATGCGTACATTATGTACCGGATGTCGCGTGTACGGGTAAAGCCGTGCGCTCATTTATGGGGCGAATACACTTTGTCGGATTATGAAGAACAGTGCGCCCGGGATTTTCAGGTGGTCGAACGCAAGTCGAACGATTCACATCTCGTGCTCGAGTCCAAAATCGGATCTTTTGTTTCGAGCCCAAAGTCGATGTATTGTGAAAAAAGAAACTGGATTTCTTTTTGCAATCTGTCTGCGATGAATATCATTTTTGTTTCCAAAATAGTCTTCACAGTTCCATCGTGTCCAAGGTATAGTTAGACAGTCGAATTTCCACATATCGCGAATTGATCAAATGGACCGATCGTTAGATTCATTTAAATCGTCCGAATTCGTCACTGGCGTCTACTTCCAATATTTTCTCGTTTCTTTTTTATTATGAGCAAAAGGCACGTGTTCC